TTTTTGAGACAGAGTCTCGCTTTGTTGCCCAGGCTAGAGTGAGTGCCGTGGCGTCAGCCTAGCTCATAGCAACCTCAAACTCCTGGGCTCAAGGGATCCTCCTGCCTCAGCCTCCCAAGTAGCTGGGACTACAGGCATGTGCCACCATGCCCAGCTAATTTTTTCTATATATGTATTAGTTGGCCAATTAATTTCTTTCTATTTATAGTAGAGACGGGGTCTCGCTCTTGCTCAGGCTGGTTTCGAACTCCTGACCTCGAGCAATCCGCCCACCTCGGCCTCCCAGAGAGCTAGGATTACAGGCGTGAGCCACCGCGCCCGGCCTTCATTGGAATTTTGATTTGACAATGTTACCAACAATTTTGTTCATATTCTTTGACCCAGACATTCCATTAACAGGTATTTAACTTTAATTCCTCTCTTCCTTACATAGGCATCAATAGCCTTGGACCTTTGCAATAGTAGACCTTCCCCATTCTGTCCCTCACAGCTTCCACACTGTCCCCAATACCCCTCCCCTGCCACACCCACCCAAACCTAAATCAAGCTCTGTAGTTACTATCTCCGTGTCATTAGGAAAGCGACTGTGGCTTTCTGTTCCTTGTTTTTCACATATTATAAGGAGAGTAAGAAGGAAAACTATCAGCCTTCTAGAGCTAATATGAAGAATAAGTGACATAAAATAATTGCAAAATACTAGGTACCAAATATGTGATCAATGAATTTAACTACATTTCGGTTTTAGATATCTACTTTTTGCTATTCTACTCTAAAAATATATATATATCTTCAGTGTTTGCATAATGCAGGTCTGCCTGGGGCAACTTTCTGATGGATCCATATATGTGGAATGTAAGAATCAGGAAATATGGTTGGAGAGCCAATGGGGAGCTGTTGGCTCTTGTGGAAATGGTTTAAACCAGGTATTTCACATCAGATAGGCCCAGAAATTGTAACATAGTCTAGTGTGCTTTTTGCAAATCACCAGAAGGTACCTGATTTAGCAAACAAATTACCCAATATGCTCTTCCCAGGAATCTAATTCTGAAAAGATATCCACTACTAGATATCTTATCTTTAGGCTACAGCAGCCCCTCCCCAGGACACAGGGCTTGGCAATTGAAGCACAGCCTGGATTTTACCCCTTCCTGCCCCCTAAGCCTGGTTTCTGTGGGCAGGACACAGCTGGTTCATTCCTGACCAGGGCCCAATCCTGTAAGATCATACCTAAAGTATAAGTCCAAACATTGTCTGAGGCCCTTGTGCTCCACCTTCATCTGCAAGCCACGAACTCTTTGCTTTTAAGCAGCTCACAAATGGATTAAAGAGACTCCTGTTGAAGTGGCCCTTTAGAAAATGAGATGATGTTTATTTTTTTTTCAAATTATAAAAGTTATAAATGCAAAATATGGCTTTTAGAAAACAAGAAAACATATAAAAGCACCCCTAACATTCATCATTCATACCCTAGAATTAATAGCTTATATATATATATATGTATATATATAATGGTATATATATTGTGTTGTATTTCCACCAGGTTATCTGTACATATTGGGGTTTTTTTTTTTTTTTTTGCACTTGGATCTTATCTCCATAAACATCATTATCAATGGCATCCAGGTTTGTAGAAGGACGACTCTAGTGAAGTTTCCATATATGAATCAGAATTGAGTGTTTGATTATTGCTTTTCCTGGCCTTGATGACCTTGAAGAAGAAAGAGATAAAGATAAACCAGTCGAAAGGCAGGTGGTCATAACATTTCTCCCTTTGCTCACACTGTCTCCTTCATATGGGCCACATCTCTTCCTCTATTCTCTTCTAAAGGACACTGTTCTCACTCTCACCTATTTCCTTTGATGAATTCCTGTCCTTTGAGTCATGTCTCCCCTCTTGGTTGAGACCATGAAATGAGATACTCACTACTACCCGGCATGAGCACAAGTAGAAGAGCAGATGTCAGGGAATAACAGGAGACAGGAAAGAGCTGGTGTACCCAATGCCAAGAGTTGAGGGGAAGATTCTTTCTTACTGGGCAGAAAGGTAGGAGGAGGATAAAAAAGATATTCCTGGTGCGATTGCTGTCAAGGAAGGTTTGGAAAGTTTGACCAATGGTCCCCTGAACTAAAGCAATCTGAGAGCATGTGCATATCTGGGAGCCCGAATATGTCAGCTTTTGTTTTGAATTGCTTGCACTCCAGTATTAGCCTTTGTTAGTGTTCCAAGAATCCCACATAAATGTGCCTGTCAGTGCAACAAAGTGCATGGACTTTGTCGTGTAGATCCAACCACCTCTATCTGTTGTAGACCAGTACATGTATCTCACTAAAGGCAGGTACCTCTGTGTTCTGATTTACTCGGGTACATCCTTGGTAGTTAAGTTCTGTTATGAGCTGTGTTGACGACCATCTATGGTAGAGAATATTTCTCCCATTTTAGAGATGATGAACCTAAAGTTCCTAGTGTTTAAGCTTTTAGTCAACTAGAAAATCACAGAGCCAGGATTTGAAACAAATGTGCCTTAATCAAATCCAAATTCTTATTACATTATCTCCCTGTTTTGATAAAATCAACCTGTTCTTTATTATTTAGCCTAGGTATCATATCCTTTGAGAATCTATCTGAATTTTCTTTCTTTGCTATGATTAAAACTATCCTTCTTTCAAAAAGAAAAAAAACAAAACAGAAAGAATGTGTTTACACATCAAAGTGCAAGGCACAGATCTTTTTAGTTCTTTTTCCACCTGCTGGACTCTCTGTAATAATAGCAGTCTAGTCTCTAAACAAAATAATTTGACACTTTGGAAGAATGGTGTTCCCATGCTCTTACCTTGATGTAACTGTGAATTACGGATCTCAGCTGCCAGTTGTCCTCACTTGTGTGTGCCAGCTCAAAGCAGATGAGTTTAAGTTTATCACCTTCCTCACAGTTGACTGTGGTCAGTCGTCCATACACCACTACTTCCATCCTCCCTGTATTATCTTGTATTTCGTAATAAGTGCATTTATCCCTCACATTTTTCTGCAAAAGAAAACACCCATCTTCTGAAAACTAAATTTTCATGTCTATGAGAAATACAGGACATTGATAGAAATGGTTTTAATTGATAAGAACTTTTGTGTCTGACAAGGTAACTAGAGCTGTAGGGTCTAGAATCACAGGTACCAAATAGCTTAAGATACTGGGTTGGTCAGTGAATTCTCCCTTTTGAATCCTCTCTTGAGCCTTCATTGCTTAAGGTCTTCATCTACTGGAATTTTTAAGAAAAACTTTCTTAATTTTTCCTGCTTCCACCTCAGCATAGCTGAGGTCTTTTTAGGGAGGTTGGATACAGAGGAATCTGATTACCTTAGTAAGTTTCTTTGGTACCTACCCAAGGACAGAGAAGAGAGGCCATCCATGGCTCACTGTCAATCTGGGGAACACTTGCAAATCCTCATAAACTAGATTGTTATCTCAATATGTAATTCTTTCTTCCCATCTTCTCCACTGAGTCACTCTTCACCAGTCTGCCCAAATCTTGAATCGAGATAATCTAGTCTCATCAGTCTGATTTCTATTGCACTTACTTTATTCATTATTTCTAGAACCATATATGTATGTACAGTCATTTAAACAGAGTGTACAGAAAACAGCATGGGTAAAAGCAACACATTTTAGAAGACATACATACTGGAGTAGGAAACAATACTTCAAAAAAGAAGTTAGGTCAGCTAAGCACAATATTTATATGATGTGTTGAGACTAAAAGACACACTGTAAGTCTAAGAATTCACCAAACTTCTTTGAATTTTAATGTGGCTATTTATAAATTGAGGGATTAAACTATGTGATTTCTCTAGTCTTCTCTTATTATTTAAAGCAGAAGTCAATTGCTCAACAATCTTCTGATGGATGAATGAATGAATGGGAAGAGGTGAGGGCACTTTGGAGTCTGGATGATAGGAATCCCAGCTAACTGTTGGACAAAGCTGCATTTTAGAGCAGACTTGTCTATTTGATTTCTTACTCCGGTTGTCACAGCCAGGATGCAGGCATAGTAGGGTGACTTTTTTATTCACATTTAAATTAAGTTGTCATTGATACATATGGGGAAGAACTCAAGGAAACAAAATTCTAAGGATATGTGTGTTGATATAAACTCTGCACTGTTTATATCATTGAGCCTGGGGTGGCTGTGAATGGATCATCATAGTTGAGAAAATGCCAAGGTTTCCTGGCGAATCTCTTTCTAAACAACTTGCATGGTGATCCCTTGAGAAAAGGAATGTTAAGAGACTACGTATCCCATATTCTGAAGAGGAAAGACTCCACCCAACTACCTCTGGGCAGGGGTGTGCCTTGATTTCCTGTGTTCAGTAAGTTGACCAAACTCCAGTTGACAAACTAAGGCTTATTAATATTTGGGGTTGCAAAAGGAATTTTATAAAACAATGGCGTGAGCTTACCTTGTGTACCATAAACACCCCATTCACAAATTTTTCTTTAGTTTGTGAACAGAGATGATTGATCTTAGGAGTTGCATTAGCATTTTTAATCAGACTGCTTGAGATCTCCATCTTTCGGTCAGCACCCACTTCAGACACGGATGAGAAAGGGTATACTTCCAGGAACCCATTGCGCCCCACATAATCCGATATGGTAATGATCTTCCTTGGAGTGAACTTCTCTTTTAGGTTGATGTTGAAAACTTTTACCCGGAAGAATTCACTTTCCGTAGCCACTGTGGCATGAAACATCTTTTTCTCCTCTTTGAATGCATATACAAATGGTTCTGTTGCTTTAAGCACCATCACTTCTAAGGGTCCACTCTGGTGGCCTTCTTCTGTGGAAGCTTCTTTAGGTATAGGTTTCCGTCTTGATTTCTAATTAGAATGTGCATACAGACACAATTTTATGACAGGGAATAGAGGGTCACTGTCTAGTGAGAGCCACCCCAGGCTCAATGTTGATCCCCAAGGAATAGATTAAGTGGGTGGAGTTGGGAAAAAAAACTAGACAATGATAGCTGAAATGGCATAATGGAAGAAATGGAAAAGATTTAAGGAACAATGTTATTATCCTCATCATTTTATGAATGGGGAAGGAAGGATGTTTTTTCTTTAAGGACGACTACCTAAATAAGAATAAAGGTATGTCTCCTAGCAAGAGGTATGTGGAGGCAGAAGGTAAAGGTAATACTGTCATAAAGGAACTCCCAAAATAGATGAGAATGAAAAAAGAATCTCAATATTACTCATTCCCACTCACTTTAGTGACCAAATAAGTCAAAAACAGAGGGGAAAAAAAATCACTCTTCATAGTACTCAGAGTGAGGAATGATCTTAACTGCAAACCAAAGATTTCATAGGATTTTAGGCGGAACTAATTTTAGCAGAGAGAGGCATTTTTTAGACTCAAATCACAAAGCCCTTCCCAACAAATCAATGCTGTGTTGCAAAAATCTTAGTAATACGGCGGCCACTGGAAGAACCCTCTGAACGTCCCTCGTTGGAAGGTCTCCAGGATGGGGGCAGTCCAGTTACAATAATGGCAGGCTTTGAGGAGAGTCATGGAAATGGAAAAAGTTGGCATGAGGGGACTTTTCTCCGACCTCCTGTCTCCATAGTGGCCTGTGCTATTTCCTAGTTGCAGGGGAACACTTTGAATTGGAGGGCAGGCTGCTGATCTGGGAAGAGGAATGGAGCAGGGGTGGACCACTGGAGACCTAGGGACCAGAATATGGAGGCAAATCAGCTGCCCCCTGCAGACCGGCAGTGCTCAGTGTGACCCGACCTAAAAAATTACACATGCATGACCTGTGAGTGACGGGGCTTCACTCTGATTGACTTCTCATCACCGTGGCCAGTTCTCCCCAACACCAGGAAGCACATTGGCAGTGTAAGTTAATCAGTATCAAAGAACCTCTCAACAGCCACGACATCAACACCCTGACACAAAGTGTACAGGACTTAAAGAAGAAATTCTGAAACTACTCTGGGGGTAATGAAAGAAGACCTGAGAGACGTGTTCTTTTTATGGGCATTGCAAGTATAGAGAATACTGGGAAAAATATAAACCCAAATGATATAGGATTATTCTTTGTACTATCTGGAATAGCCATGCAATTTTTCTTATACAATAAAATAAATCTATTTTCGTTGATTGAATGGCAGTTCAAGTCCACAGCCATACCTCCTTGAACATACCCAATCTCCCCTGAATGGAAGTTCAAGATATATTAAGTGATGAAACAAACAATCAAAAAAAAAAAAAAAAAAAACCTGGGTCACAGAAAAAAATGTGTAATGTGATCCAATCTGGGAGAAAGTGATACTCTTTGTATATACATAGCAAAAGGTAAAATAAAATAAAAACGACTACATGCCAAAATGTGGCATTCGATAGAGGAGAAATTTCAGATAGTTAAATTTTAATTATTTTTATCTATGTACATGCTTTTGCTAAATTTTCTAAGATGATATTATTTGTGCAATAAAAATGAAAGAGAAAGCATAGGTGACAGTGTTCTGGTGGTCTCTGGATTTCTCCAACTTATTCTATCCTAAGATATTACTTTTATGGTGTGTTATGAGAAAAGCAAAAATGAAAGCTAAAACGAAAAATAAATGTCTAATTATACCCCTTAAGGGATAGGGATGATGAGGTGCCCACAGGCTCATAGATTATCCTAATGAAGGGGGGGGCACAATAATAATTAGAATTTGAATGTAGGGTAGGATCTCAAGATATATACTTAATAAATAAAGGGGTGATCTAATTAAATAAGGCACTGAATATGCTAGGGGATTAGTGAGACGCTCTTTCCAAGTTCTGTAAATCTGTCATTATGTTGTAGAGAGGAAAAGGCACTGGGAATAAGAAAATGGTACCTTGATCAAGGAACTGCTGGATGATGTTGCTGGAGGCATCTTGGGAGTCTGGGGCATGCTCTCAGTTGGGCATGTGCTGGTTGTGAATAGTCCTGAAACTTGATTCTCTTCTGGTGACATCTGTATCCTCATGGTGTCTTTGGTTTGGGTGATTCTGTCTTCTTTCTGAAGGAAATTAGATTTTTGTTCAGTTTTCTAGTTAGTGTTTTTAAAAATCAAATGAAACACATCTTTTCTTTTCTCTTCTTTTTTAAATAAGATCTGGACCCTGCCAATTTTCTCCTGAGTTGCAGGAGGAATAATAATGCCCACTCAGGTAACCCCATCACCTAGCCTCCTCCCATCTCAATGAGGATTACACATCCCTCTGTAAATGTTAAAAACTCTAATGATTGAAATTTCATTGTTTTAAGATGGAATATTGGCTCTACATGTCTTGTAAAACTGGCTTCAGTCAATTGGTCAGGTACAACTCTTAGGGCAATTCCTGGGATAGTATGGCTTACAACGTGTCACCTACACTTATGGACATTTGTTAACTAATACTTTTTCATCAAGCAGATGCACAAACTAGTCCCTGTCACTACTCTTCAGTATAAGAGAAATCTAGGTCTCCCTTCTGTGACCATAACCACAACAGAAAGATACTCTTAAATACACAGTTCCTCAGGCAGCATTCTGCAATCTCTACAGAGTGGATCAGGCAACGAGAATATTTCAGGGTTTTACCTGTATTCAGAACAATTCAATACTCTACCTAAAGCATTACCATTAGCTACAGTTTTATGCATTTTTCAATTAAGATTGGAGGCTATCTCTAAAATCACATACTTTGACTACCTTTAATTACATTAACGAAAGTCCATTAAATATCCTTCATATTTGGCCAATTTGGCACAGTATTTTTTTACCAGTTTTGGCATTCAGTAATCTAATTAACTGACAGTTGTCAATAGAGAGGGATATGGAAGAACTGCCTGGAGTTCCCCCACCTGGGGTACAGCTTCCTGATTAGAACAGGCGTTGACTACTCCCCAGAACCTGGACTATGGAAACAGCCCAAAACATAGCACTGTATATTCAAAATTGTTTAAAAATGAACTGCAGACATTTGAACATTTGCACACCTTAATGTATATAAAATCTACATCCATTAAATATTCAAATTTTAAAGTTCAATAAATCTGGATGAATCTTGGCTTCAGTACTACCTCTGTGAGCGTGTGGAAGATTTGACCCTCTATGAGCCTGTTTACTCACACGAGAAACAAGACAAACAATAACATCTCCCTATGGTGTTATAAAGAATAAATGACATTATGTACATGAAGAACACAGGTTTTAGAGTCCACTCAGCAATGCTCAATAAACATAAATATCTTTATTGCTATTATTTTTCCATGGTCTATTATGGGTTTGTAAGTCAGCTCCAATGAACAGATGTTTCATGCTTTATGTTGACTCTGATGATGGAAATGTCGTATGGGCGTGATATAGGAAGCACAGTACGAGAGAACCACCTTTAGTCAAGATTACTATGTGGAATTACAGAATTTCATTGACAAGGTTGCCTTGAGATCCACCTTCCTACCCTGTTCATAAATAATATCATTCTATGCGGTTTGCTTCATGTACAAATAATAGCACAAATCAAAGGGAATAATCTATATCTGACTTTGAATTCAAAAATAAAAAATAACCCTACTGTAGAGAAAATATTTGGAAGAAGCTGTGATGAGTAAGCAAAAGGGTTTCCTGTTTACCTAGGGAATCACCCTTTTTGCAAGCCTCCTATGAAGATAGCTGGACCCCAAAGAAGAAACTGACTGCATGGTGTAGTTAGGCAGATGAACCTGCCTTGGGTCCTGTGCTGCGAGGAGATTTCAGAGCAGCAGCATGATTCTCATGGGAGTAGAAATGATTGTGCTGTGTATTTCTGCAGGCAAGGCCATGGAAAGTGTCACTTTCAAGCGAGCACACATGGAAAAATTAAAGTTGTCTCGCAATGGCCATGCATGCCATTGTAGTGGCAAAGAGACAGGGCATCTGAAGTTCAATGACTAGACGAGAGCTCTATCTGTGGACAATAGTCCCAAGATGCAGCAGGTACAGGCAGCTAGCTCTGCTCCCATGCAACCAGGAGAGGCTATATGGAGAAACAGGGAATTTTTTTTTTTTTTTAACTAAGAGCAAGAAAAGCTATTTTAAAAATTTGACAAAAATCTGTATGTAGGAAGCCTGTTCTCAACTTGTATGTGTGGGGTGGTGCTGGGGGGTGCAGCCTCCGTCAGAGTGTAGCTTGGGCCTGGCCGAGAATCTAGATAAGAGAGTGGTAAGGAAATGCTCCCCTTCCTTTCTCTCTAGCTGCCTCCTCCCACTGTGGATAACAGTCTTCTGTGCCCTGGGCAGAAGTGACCACATCATGGCCAAACAAAGGCAGACATGGATTTGATCTGAACAGAGATAGACAACTCATTTGCGCACTGTTGTCTGCTTTTCCCCTGGACCTATTTTCTAGTAGGGTTGAAAAACACTCAATTATTAGATTTTGATAAATAGTCTAAAGAAAATAAAGGGCCATGTTTGGGAAACATTGGCATGATGTGCTCTAATGCAGGCAGGGGTATCAGTGAAGATATGTCTGAAGAAGGGATTTTGGTTGGCCCAGAAATATATAGATGCCAATAAAGAGTAAAGGATTTTATGCAAAGGAAGTACTGTATGTCCAATCACCTATTTTGAACATCAACCCTAACATATGGTCACTAGTTGTAGTGGAAAACTGTGGAAGGAAACTGGAACGTAAGTTATAAACATACTGTCGTAATCATATCTCCTTGGCTGGATACCTCTCCTCATTCTCTTTCTATATTTGGACAAACAGAAGACAATCATCTTTTTGAAGACAGAAATGGCATCATGAATGCAGACCTTGTGGATAAGAAAGGCTGTAGAATCCAGTGACAAGTCCAATTATATGTTGATAAATGATGAGAAATGTAGTAAAATAATGAAATTATGCTTAATATGAGATTAAATGAGAATCTCTTTCAAAACCCCGATCAACCCTTACATATGAAGGAATATACAACAGTAGAAACTGCTGGATGGGAGTTTTTGATATAGCGCATAAACATGAGCAGGGGCCACAGTTGGTGTGCTGAATCTGACATTTACAGAGGAAGTCTCTGCTCCTGGGACAGCTTCTTCCTTCTGGAATGAAAAATTTGGATGATTTAATCTTTTCTTTTATGATGGAAAGTAATATATTTTCTGGCTAATGTTTTTCTAGATGAGTTGAATGGCATACACATTTTTTCTTTTTTAAAATTCTTTTTTATAGGATGTTTCCTGTGCTAATTTTCCCTGGATACTGTCATTAATCCGGCTTCCTTAACCCACATTTCCTCAGACACAAGAATAAGCATTACAGTCTTTGGTCTGAAAGTTCAAGACTCATTGATCTTAGATAGATTCTTGGCTCTATCTCTGTTGTAAACTGATGTGAGCCAACAAGGTCAAGCACATTTCTTGAGCATATTTTTTGGTAGATAAGCCTCCTTGGTGATAAGAGTAGCAGGTCTCAGAATCAAGTCAGACGTACGGAGGAATGTCTATAAGTGATCCTTTCTCATCAAACAATTAACAAACAGGTTCCCATCATCTGCTTTTCAGGTTCTAGTACACCCAGGTCTTCATCATTTTTGAGGAACTCCTCTTTTCCCTGCTGCAAACATTCTCTTATAGCCACAATTCTAGAGGCAGGATTATGCTGCCCTTCCTGTCTATATGAAGCAACCAGAATTCTTCAGGATTCATAATCATAATCACAAGGGTTCCAGGTTCTACCCAGGGAATTCTCAATACCTGGCATTTTATGTCTTGTTTAAGAAAGGACAGAGAGTGTGTATAAAATAATATTTTTTGACTCCCATTAACTACAATAGTGAAAGCTCATTCCTGACAGTTTACACTTGATGCCAATTTGCCACGGTTTTCCCCACTTCTGGATTTCAGTAACACAATTGTTTTGTACCATTTTCTGAAAAAGTGGTGGGTAGGAGGTGCTGGAGGAGCCTGCTGCTGCCCCGGGGCTCCCTGATTAGAGAAGTCTCTGACCACTCTCCTGTATCTCCTATTAAAAATGTTTTTCCATTTAAGTATTTTCAATTATTATGCTTCGAATGTTCATTTTTTTTTGAGACAGTCTGGCTCTGTAGCTCAGGCTAGAGTGTCATGGTGTCAGCCTAGCCCATAGCAACTTTAAACTCCTGGGCTCAAGCGATTCTTCTGTCTAAGCCTCCCAAGTAGCTGGGTTTACAGGCACGCGCCACTATGCCTGGCTAATTTTTTTTTCTATCTATATATTCTGTTGTCCAGATAATTTCTTTCTATTTTTAGTAGAGATGTGGTCTTGCTCTTGCTCAGGCTGGTTTTGAACTCCTGATCTTGAGCGATTCTCCCACCTCGGCCTGTCAGAGAGCTAGGATTACAGGTGTAAGCCACCGCACCTGGCACGAATGTTCTTTTTGGTTCCTCTTCTGTAGAAATGTCTGTTTATATTATTCTCATTCCTATTTCGTATCTAGTAATTCTTGATGTATTCACCTGTTTTTTATTTCTATTTTTCAACATCAATTGAAATATACACTTCCTAGAACTCTGGGAGGTCATGGAGGGAGGATTACTTGGGCTCAGGAGTTTGAGACCAGCCTGGGCAAGAGCGAGACCCTGTCTCTACAAAGATAGAAAAGTTAGCCTGGTGGCATGGTGGTGCATGCCTGTAGTCCCAGCTACTTGAGAGTCTGAGGCAGGTTGATCACTTGAGCTCAGGAGTTAGTTTGCAGTGAACTAAGATGACGCCACTGCACTCTAGCCCAGGTGACAGAGCAAGACTCCGTGTAAAAAACAAAAAAATACATGCCACACACACACACACACACACACACACACACACACACACACAAACATTCAACATGGCAGATAAATTTAGATGCTGGAAATAAGATGTTTGTTTTAGTAACATTTTTTTCCCTTTTAAATGATTTTTTTGAAGATTTTAAGAAAATTTTATTTCAATGATGACATGCTCATCTTATACATTTACTTAAACTTTCTTAACCATCATAAGCATATGATGCTATGAAATACTGTCACAAAGAGAA